AAATTTTTATTGAAGTTTTAAAAAAAAAAAAAAAAAACCAAGGTTTAAAAAAAAAAAAAAAAAAAGTTAAAGCTCTGACCATATGCCTTACAGACGGTTCTGGGAAACCCTAGAGAAAAGATGTTCTATTCAAGGAAATTACCCCTCCCTATGTCTAGAAAACAAGTTCTCCTGTTCAAACAGTCCCAGTGCCCTTTCTGATAGCTTCTAAATTTAAGAGAAAAAGTCAGTAGGCAAAGATATGCTGTATAATGGATCTCCATGGAGCACAATGAACAATCTTCCATAGCTCTCAAGTCTGCATGGGGGACCAAGAGGAATAGAAAAGTGAACATAGTTAAATGTATTGCTTATAATCTTTGTTTATGATCCATTACAGATTCTCAGAACAAATTTCAATGAAATTGTATTAAATGTATTAAATTACATGTGTATGAGTGTGTATATATACACATAGGTGTGAATACACATAGACTCATTATATGTTTATTTCCTTTTTATGTAATTTTACTGTTTTGTTCAAGACTTTTGTCACTTCTTAAATAATATTTTCTTATTTGCATTCTGTTTACATTTATCAATTATAGGCGCTCTCTTTGAGATTAATTTGTCCTTTAAAAATTTTATTCACTGGGGCTAGAGAGATGGCTCAGTGGTTAAGAGCACTGGCTACTCTTGCAGAGGACTCAGGTTTGGCTCCCATCACCCACATGGGCATTGAACCCATGTGGTACACTTACATACATACAGGCAAAACACACACAACATGAAAATATTCTAATTTGTTTTTAATTTTTTTATTTTTGGTCTTTTTTCAACAGGGTCTCCCTGTAGCCCCAACTGGCTAGAACTTGGCTCTCTGTAGACCAGGCTGGCCTCAAACTGACAGAGCTCTGCCTGCCTCTGCTTCCAAAGTGTGGGGATTAAAGGCATGCATCACCATGCCAAGCTTAATTATTCGTTTTTATTACACCCTAACTGCACTTGAAAATAGACTGGTCTCATTATTTTAAATTATTGTATTTGATTTTTGTTTCAGTATTAGCCATTTAAAAAGCCTCTCTAAGCCCATTTAATTTTTAGTTGCTATATAATATTCATAATTGGGGATGCAGAGTTATATTTTTTAAGATTTATTTTATTTTTATTTATGTGTATAAATGCCACATTAGTGTAGGTGCCCTCAGAGGCCAGAAGAGGGCATTCAATCCCCTGGAACTGGAGTTTCAGGCTGCCATGTGGGGGCTGGGAACCAAACCTGGGTCCTCTGCAGGAACAGTCAGTGCTCTTAACCACTAAGCCATCTCTCTAGCCCTCAGAGTTACATTTTCGAAAAGATTTTTAAAAACACTTTATTTATGTGAATGTGTGTGTTTCTATGTGTGTATACACACACATGTATTCAGGTGCCTGGAGAGGCCAGAAGAGGATGCTGGATCCCTTGGAGCTGGAGTTATAGGCAGTTGGGAGCCACCCAATGTGGGTTCTGTGAACTGAACTCAGGACCTCTGCAAGATCAGCAAGTGCTGTCAACCACTGAGTCATCTCTCCAATCCCCAGAATTACATTTTTAACTTGTGAAAATAAATATAGACTCCCAAAGGCCACCAAAAACAAGGTGCGAAGAAAAGTAAGCCAGAAAAACATACAAACTTTCCTTTTCCTAAAACACATACTCCTTTGCCTCTCTGCACATTATTTTTTACTTCATCTGCTTCTGTAAGGAATGGGGTAGGACCTATCACAACCTGTTCCAAGTGAAACCTGGGACTCCAGGCAGCACCCCATACTTACTTGAGTGGAGAATGAATATTAAGTATGATTTGAAATCCAGGGGGCACCCAGTCTTCAGCCCCTGGGATTGAAGACTTCAGTGTCATTTCCTGGGTTACATCCTCTCTGAAGTCACAGTCTTCTCTGGCATGTTCTTCACTCACACCCTGCATTACACAGATGAAGGGGTAACTTCAGCAAACACAGCTCAAGAATTTGATTAAAAAGAGCACTTAATAGGGCTGGAGAGATGATTCAGTGGTTAAGAGTACTGGCTGCTCTTGCAGAAGACCCTGGTTTAGTTCCCAGCACCCACATGACTGCTAACAACAGTCTGTGACTCTGTTCCAGGGTATCTGATGCCCTCTTCTGGCCTCTATGGGCACTGCAGGACATGGGTATACTTGTATGCAAGCCGGAAAGCACTCATATACATAACATTTTTTTTAAAACAGCACTTAACTGTGTTTCCTGTATTAAACTTTATCACAAGAAATTGAAACTGTTCTCAGCTAAGCTATAATACAATTGCTATGAATTGTTAAGTACAGTCCCTGGTGCTAAAGTCCTCACTACATGCATGTTCATTTTAAGTCTTCCCCCAAACCTATGCACCATACAAAGAAAGATAAATAAGCATTTGAAGTGAGCAGGCAAAAATAAGAGAAAAGAACTTTTGATTCCATGTTAACCGATTTTCATACTTACCACTGAGCTGGCTGCTGTCAGACAGCCTGGCAGCTGATGATTAGGTTCTGACAGCATCCAGCACTTCCAGAACACTTGGAACAACTCTCTGGCTAATAGCTCAGCAGAACTGAAGTCTGATTCGTAAGTTACACTGAAACACAAGAGAGACAAAAGCTGGAAACTGTAAATGGGGAACATGTTCAGGGTCTCCTTCAGGTTTTCAACTTTTGTCTTGCCCCAAACTTCAATGAAGCCAGTGTGAAACACAGCATGAATCACTGCCTGGATATGTAATGCAACATAGTTTGATGGTGATCAATAAAGAGCCTTTCACTTATTAGGGGCTTGGAGGTATGGTAAGGGTTTCAAGTCAGAAGTCCAGAATTTGAGTCTCCTCCTGCTGCTTAATAGCATTCTGTGGGCTGGTGGAGTGGTGGCACACACATTTAATCCCAGCACTCAGGAGGGACAGGAAGGCAGATATTTATGAGTTCAAAACTAGCCTGATCTATGTCACGTGTTCCAGACCAGCCACAGCTACATAATGAGACCTTGTGTCAAAAAAAAAAAAAAAAAAAAAAAAAACATTGTGACTGGAAACATTTCCTCA